TTTGAGAACGTAATTAACAGAAACTGGCACTCTTTAATAACTCTTTAACTCTTTAATCCTTCAAGTGATACGAAAAACTGACACTCTTCTCTTCTGAATACAATGATCGATATCGCATCTTTCATACTAAAGGGAAGTTACCATATTTATCATAGATTTTTTTTTTCCATTCAAGTTCACCAGTTTTATATCTATCCTCTCTTCACGTTTCATTTAATCTGAGATTTACACGGTGTTCATGACGGCGTATCTCGTTTATTGACTTATTCTTTATATAAATACACGTACTTATCCTTTTTATATAATCTGATAGTTCATATTAAATCTTTTATGACGTTGTAGGCAAGCAAAAACTCTATCGTAGATGATAAATGACGTTTTATCCGCGTGTTGTACAATGCATATAGATGATACAATATTTCTCGGAAAATATTGTATATGTTTAAACCACTTTTATTAGTCGCTAACATATTAAGAAACCGTATCGATAAATATTAAAAAAAACGATATGATTTGCAGGTCTCATCTATTTTTACTTTGTTCAAATTTAAAATCACTTTCGTTGGTCGCTGAATACGCAACATTGAGTTGCTAGTAAAATATTAAAATCTATTTATTTCGTTTCAATTAGAATTCTATTTTCATAATTCTAGGGTCATATCGTAATTTCTCTAAGTTCTGCATTCAGTGCGTTTTGGTCAGCTTGGCACATAGAAAGATCACTTTGCCAAAGACCGCTAACGCAATACATTTGTCGCTATGTATTCATCCGTATTCCATAAATCTCTACCACGAAGGAAGAGGGAACATATTTGACATTTCGTTACGTGCTGATGAATGAGCAATGGTTTAATCCTGTTCTACAAATATCGTAACAATCACGTTGCTTCCGTAAATTTAATAGTTTGAAAGAATTTTGACGTGTTGATCTTTTCGTTCTTGAAAATCAAAAGAAAATTTAATATCCCTGGTGTTATGTAACTCCGACGTGTGCAATGTCTTCAGAAGTGTCATAGACGTCAGAAACTTTGGAAGACTTGCGTATTGAAGATTTTATTATCGATGCGTTCAGATTTCTGAGAACTTGCAGAGACTCCATACTTTTAGTAATGTAAATATTTTTTATGAATATTCAAAGTAACGAACAATTTCAAAATTTATAATAAATACATCTCTTCGTATGTAAGTGGCCTACGATTGTAATTGTAATTACAAGACGTTGATAAAATTTGTATTCTTCCTTTCTTGCTTCTTTGCAATATTTATTCAAATAAATAAAACGTCCATTAACTTTCGCTGGCAGAGGCAATTTCAAGATACAATCTTGAAAGTTAGAATTTAAATCGACCACCGTTAGTAGTATGAAAATTTAAAATTGGTAGTATCTTCAGTGCGCGCATATTCATCAATACCACCGTGCTATTGTTCCAACAACACGGTGTATGTATATCACTCCCCTCAGCATCGATAACAATTTGAAAACTTGCATCCCAGTGAATCGGAGATCCGATACAAAGAGAGATATCTAGATTGAAAATGCTCCCGAATGACCCAGATCGTTGCCCACGATGCTGTTAATTGCACTTCGATATCGATCAGCCAACTCGTGCTGATAACTAAACTACCGATCTTCATGCGAATTCGTATTCTCGAAACACGTGATTTAAAAGATTAAATTAAAAATAAAAGAAAGAATGGAGATAGAAAATTGTTTCGAGCGCCAAGTCTTACAGAAAGCATACTTTGATAATAATTTTCATTCGATAGTAATTTTACAGTTTAAAATTTCCTACAGACGCACGAGAATCCGTAGTCTACGTATGTAATGGCAATGTTACAGCCAACAGGACTGGTATCACTCAAGTTTGGATCAATTTGGTCATGGTAGAGGGAATCACGCCGATCATTTTGTGTTACCTTCTCCCCACCCCCCCCCC